AGAAAAGAAAGGCAGAAATACACTAATATTTATTTATTCATCTTCCAGTCAAAACTGGTTCTTCATGGTGAGTGTTTTTCCCTTCTAGCCATTTCCTGATGCCAGCCTAGGGAAATAAGACAAATTGTCGGTATTTTGTGCATTTAAGAAATGAAACAAATTATGAGGGGATGTAGCGCAGTGGCAGAAGTCTTGCCTCCCATGCATGAGGCCATAGGATCAATCTTCAGTGCCACAAAAAACAAATACATTGTACCAACTCCTGCATGATTTGATCACTTCCTCCAATTACTCTAGCTGTTGGTACACATGAAATAAACATCCGTGAAGGACTTATCTCCTGCCCTGCTCAAGTACAAAGTCTACTTGGAAAGAGATTTAAGCTTCATTTATTGCCTTCTTCTCAGCATCTGGAACTCAGTCCAGCTCATAAAAGATGCTCAATAAATATTTGTTGAACAAATGCTCCCAGCGTGAGATGACAAGAGCCAATGCAGGGTGAGTGGAGCCTGATCCTCTCATGTCTCCCCGCACCAGTGATGCCAGCCTGGCCACTCCTGTGGTCAGCCCACGTGCTCTGCTCCACAGTCTCAGGTGCAGCATTGGAAGGATGCTTCTGTCTTCACTACTTCCCATCTCCTTTGGTGCTGGTTCTGGAGGACGGAGGCGGTGAGGGAAGAAAGGACAGACTTCCTCTCTGCACCAGGTGCTGGTGGCTCTTGGGCACAAGTCCTGCATGAAGCCTGCCTGCTGTGCAGCCCAGAGGTCGCCTCACTGGATGGCTGTATTATTACTGCTATTATTATTTCTTTATTTTACTGTTTTGGTGCTGGAGTTTGAACTCAGGGCCTTGCACATGCAAGGAAGGCACCTTGCCACTGAGCCACGCCATCGGCCCCACGTTACTGTTGGTGTCAGAAGCAGTAGCATTTCTGCTTGTGGAAGTCTTGGAGAAGCCACAGATACTGAGTCACATTGATTTAAACAAAGTCTGAGCACTTGGAATGATAGGATCGTTTGGACAGTGTTTTTCTTTTCAATGATTTGAAGACCTGTTTGCTAACCCTGTTTCTGATGATACAAGTTGGGGAAAGGACACTCCAGACTCCACAACTTCCAACTGCTGATGGAGAACGAAAGATGAACATAAAAGGTGATGAGTTAACTTGTAAAGAGGAGAGGAAACTTTTTTTAAAAAAAATTTTATTTATTTATGTGTGTGTGTGTGGCCAGCTCAGCCCACCAGGGGGCGGGGCTGACTTGGGTGTTGTGCTGGGGGATTGAACTGCGGTCCCTGTGCTTTGTTGAGCTTATTCTAAGTAGGTGCTTTAGACCACTGAGCCATCTCACCAGCCCGAGGAGAGGAAACTTTAGATCTAATTAGACAGAGATACATGGACAGTCTCCATTGAAAAGAAGCTTCTGAGGGCTGGCCAAATAGCTCAGTGGATTAAAGTACCTGCAAACAGGGACAAAGACTGGGGGTTCGATCCCCGGGCCTGCCATGCCAGCCCTGCCTCTGGGGCACACTGAGATGGCAATTGAGACTCGGCATGGTGATGCGTGTCTGTAATCCCAGCTCTTGGGAGGCTATAAACAGGCGGATCACTATGCGTCCGATCTAGTAGTGAGACTCTGAACACCCTTCCCCAAAATACAAAAAAAAAAAAAAAAAGAAAGAAAGAAAGAAAAAAGAAATGAAAAGAAGTTTCTGGAATGGATACACTTGAGAAATAAATCAGTTTAAATATCACATTTTTAAAATCTTAAATGATAAACCCAGGGTAAAAATAAAGAGTGAAATAAAAGGTAGATAATGGAAGGAGCTGGGTCCTTCACAGTGGGAAGGAGTTCAAGAGGTGGGGGGTGAGGGAGAAGGGATAAAGGCTGAAAAAACTCCAGATGTGTTACGTATGAGTGCCAACTTTGCACAAGGAATGCAAACATCGTGCGCCACAACAGTGCACTCATAAAGTAATTAAAACTCCCATAGCATGAAGGGCCCTGGTTTAAGAGCACATTAGAGGGCACAGGGGTGCTGGGTAGTGACTTCGGGTTAAATTGGAGCCACCTGTGTCAGATATTAAAAAATCAGTATATCCTGGGATGGGGTGTAGTTCAGTGGTGGAACGCGGGCTTAGCATGTGGGAATCCCTCAGTAGTGCAAGTCATCACTGCCATCACCACTGTCTTTCTTTTTTTCATGGTGTGTGTTATTTTATTCCCTATTTCACTTAAATGTCACAATATTTACAGAAGTGTTCTCATTCTAGACCTTGATATGAGAGGATGCAGAAGGAAGCTCAACAAATATGTGCTCAATAAATATTTCTTTTATGAGTTCTTGGGTACAATTTAGATATTCATGATGATCATAGGTATTATATGAAGTTTGTACTTGTGTAGGATGTACTTTGATTCCTCTTTCCTCAGTGTCCTCTTCCCCTTTCAAGTCTTTTTTTTCAAAATTTTATTGATAAACAGATAGTAATGAGACAGATTCAAATCAAATCGGAAGTACAGTTTCAACAAATAATACACTGCATATATTCTTTCATTTGCATGATGAATACAGATAAACTAGAGATTAAGTAAAGATGGACTGCCTGGGTCGCCAAGCTCTGCTCTGGACAGACAGCATGGGAGGGTGAGGGTCTAGTGGTAATATGGGGGTGTCAGGAAGGAACTGGAGTACACCGTGAGAGAACCTGGGAAGGGAAAGTGTTTGATGAGGCTGAGGGGTGGAGCGTTTGGGAATTTGAGGAGCTGTCATTGAATGGCAGGAAGATTTATTCTGAACTTCTTTAAAGGGCTGAGCTGAGACTAAAGGGTGGAATTTGAGCAGCTGGAATCTTGATCCAATTTCGGGGGGAGTGTCTCTTTGTTAATGTGACAGGGAAAAAGCAGCCCTGTAAAGTGACCTCTGGTGGAGTGAAGTTTAAGCGGAGGCGTGGCTTGGAGTTCCATTACCCCAGCAAAGCCTTCTGACCTTCACGGAGTCCCTTTAACTTCAAGATGTGTGGCCTTGGCCGAAGGTCAGGCTCAGAGAGTTACCTGGATCAGATTCTTGTCAGAAGAAGCCCGTTCTCCGGACATAGCAGCAAGATGGTGGAACGCACCAGACTCCGTGAGCTCCTGGCGCCTACCAGGGCCTCCCAAGGATCACATGTGGGCTTGGATTGAAGCTTCCTGGGATCCTGCTCCAGCACCCTGCTGTATGCAGAGGCCTTTATCTTCTGAGAGAATTTGTGGTCAGCCTGACCCGCTCTCTGGACACTCCCTCAGGCTGGATGGGGTTCAGCTGCCCAGCACAGAGGCTGGGTGACTTCTGTTCCTGCAGGGACACTGCTCCTTCCTCTCTGGCCCAGTCCTGAAAGCTGTGCCTGCTGCCCCAGTGACAGCAGCCCCGGGGTGGACAGCTGGCGGCTGCACACAACCTTGCCCGTGTGTCTCACTTGCGCAGGCAGTTGTGCTTCTGGATGATTCTGCCTTTCTCATTCTTTTAGTGCCAATGCTCCAGCGGTGCCTGGTGGGGAGTTTTTTTCACATCTTAGGAATTCAGGGTAGTTGGTTTTAGTCATTTCAGAACATGATTTCAAACATTGATGGGAGTTTCCACTTGTTGGGAAAGAGAACACACAGGGCATATTCGTCTGGGAGGGTCCTGGGTGGATCCTGTCTCTTACCAATACTTGAAACCTTGTACCAAGTCAGTTAAAAGCAGAAACTAAGCAGGTGCCTTGTACTGAGTAAAGGACACTTATTCTTTAACTTGCAATCCTGCGGCAGCTGAGAAATGAAAGCCCCCAGGCCGGCACAGCTTCCCCAGGTCTGCAGAGTAAAGGCCCAATTTCTATACCACCGGGTGGAGGACACTGAGCTCTGGCTTCCCAGTCCTGTGTAGAGGACCTGTGCAAATGGGGCCTCTTTCCCCATGAGTGAGTGGGAGTGTTTCTGGGCCCTGGATTCTGGTCCCGGGGGGTTGTTGGGTGTTCTTTTGGGGAAACTCAGGCAAGGGGTGGGTGGGCACCACTGAATGGTGTCTTTGTCCTCTTTCTGAAAGCCTCAGGGAGAAAGGCAAAATCCCTCCAGAGGCACTGGCAAGCTGCAGGCTGGCCCTGAGAGCCAGTTCTTGGCGGGCTCCTTCGCAGGGTGATTTGGGAAGAAACAAAGCCCCCTTACCCCGCAGGCCTCTGTTGAGATGGGAACTGCTCATTTTTATTCTTTTGGTCTCCTAGCAGTCTCTGGTTGGGTTTTGCTTTTGTCCTGGGCCTGGCAGCCCTTTGAACCAAGGCCTCGTGCTTGGCAGGGCCTCATGGAGTTTGAGCTGGGTGAGCTCTTTTCTCTTGTCTCTACTTCCTGCCCACTGGGATGAAAAAGTGTCCTCAGCCCCTGCTTTTCTGAGTTGACTGTCATGGACTGTGATTGGTTGGTATGGACCATGTGTTAACTCTGAGCAGCCAATTAGCTTGCCCCATGCTGTGCTGTGTTCCCACTGGCTGGCTGAACCTAGTGTTGGTCAGGGTGTAAAGGTATGTGTGGAGGAAAGGTGCTTGGAAGGTGGCTACCTGGCCCTCTGACCCTGAATCTGTCACTGACTGTGTCCCCTGGACTAGGCCTTCTAAGCCTGAGCCTGGGCTCCAGACTGCTAAGAGGGCTGATCCGTGCCCCTGGCCTTTGTTGAGTCAGAAAGCTACCCTCAGCAGAGGATCTTTCTCACCGTTCTTGTGAGGTGCTTGTTTGCACACATCTGTGGATTGTGCTCTGTGCGTGGCCTCTTGTGAGCTCTGACAATCCCTGCTGCAGGTAGACACAAGGACAGCCTTGTCACTTAGTGAGTTGGTGGGGATTGGCCAACTATCAAAACCATTTTTTTTTTTTTTTTTCTGGAAAAGAACTTGCTGGGTCACAAGCATTCCAAACCTGCTGTCCTGCAAGGTTGGGCACACCCTTACCTCTGTGCACTGTCCCACCCCACCTGTCTCTCTTGTGTGCTGCAGGGAGCTGCTGGAGACCACGTGCCGCCTGGCCAACACGCTGAAGAGGTATGGAGTCCAGCGCGGGGACCGCGTGGCCATCTATATGCCGGTGTCCCCACTGGCTGTGGCGGCAATGCTGGCTTGTGCCAGGATCGGAGCTGTCCACACAGTTGTCTTTGCTGGATTCAGTGCGGAATCCTTGGCTGGGAGGATCAATGATGGTGAGTACAAGGGTGGGGGCAGCAGGGGCAGGAGGCCCCTGGTCCTTGCTCCTGGGTGACTGGCCATCAGGATGGAGAGTAACAAGTGACACAGACAGGTGGTTGGTGCTACCGGGGATAGGCACAGGGATGCATGAGTCTTCTGTGAGGAGCGATCTACCAGCTGCCTCAGGGCCAGGAAGCAGGTTTTCCTCAGAGCCTCCAGGCAGCAGCCAGCCTGCTTACACCTGCCTCTGGCCCAGGAGACTAAGCAGAGTGCCTTGGAGGGCAGACTGTGAGTTAAAAGCAGACTAGGCCATCAAGTTTGTGGTGATTTGTTGTGGGGACAAAAGAGAATTTGTGCAGATGCTGAGGCCTGTGCCCAACCAGGAGGGACAACAGAATCCAACCGGACATGCCCCATGGCACCCGCCTGTGTCCCAGGCTGTCCCTGTCCAGCCCCATTGGTTGGCTATGAAGGTATCCAGTGGGCAGATAGCCTTTGTCCTGCCCAGATGGGCCCAGCTTCCCAGGTGGATGGTGGTTTTGCCCTGAAGGGAAAATACATATGGCCAGAGACCCTGGTGCCCCAGGCTGGGGTGGCTGCCTCTAGGGTCTAGAGAAACAATGGGAATATTCTAGAACTTTCAGTGATACCAGCAGCTTGCTTAGGTCCCATGTCCTAGGTTTATCACCACTGGTCTAGAGTGTCTCTAGAGTATCTCTAGTCCCTGGATAGCCCTCACTGAGCTGCAAACCCTGTGCTGAGAATTCTCGTGGCCTCAGGGCTGTGATGTCTCTGAGGCACTGAGGAGGGAGAAAGACTGAAGGAACAAGGCCTGAAACAATTTCCAAAAATGGGCTTAAAAGATGGAGCCCAGACTCTGAGACAAGATCTCGAGAAGAGTGTTTCCTCAGAGGGATGGTTCTGGGAACTGCCAGAGGCAAGGTGAAGTGACGCCAGGAGAGGAGGCCACACTGGGGACCCAGAGCCTCATCCACAGGGAGCCTCCTTCCCCACTGTGTAGCCCCTATGAATTAGGCCGACACTGGTGTGGCTGGGGAGTTGGGGTTTCACACTCTGTCACTCAGAGTCCCTGCTTGAGGAGCATCCCCACTCATGGTTCTGGAAAGGGCCCCTGATTCAGACTGACTAGAGGACCTAGGCCTGGGGGCAAGAGCTGTTTTTTGCTCCAGAATCTTTCTCAGAGGCTGATAACCACCATAGCCTTGGTCGCTCTGGTGCTCCTGGGTGGGTACAAGGCCGAGAGTGATTCCTTTGCCTGTGGGCCTCAGGCCCAGGATGTGTGGCCCTCACTCCCTGCACTGGCTCTGCCCTCTCTTGGGTGTGGTCGACCAGCACAGCCCTGGGCCTGCCTTCTCCTTGCTGGGTCACTGAAGAGCAAGTGTGAAGCTTCCCCTGAAGGTGGGGCATGCAGGCCGCTCCTGGGCCCCCACCCTGCTTCTATGCCCTGCTGACTGTGAGCTGCATGTCAGCCTGGACGGCCCCGTGCAGGGAAGGCTTTGGGGCTTGGTCTCTGCTGCTGGAGCTTGTCTGTCACCACAGTTGCTGTAGGTGGCCAGCCTGGAGACCCTCCTGTGTCAGGCCAGAGAGACACCTGGAGGTGGGAGACTCATGTTCTGGCCCTCAAGGAGAGTGGCTGCTCTGTGCCTTGTCTCGAGCCGCACCCCACACACCCCAGACAAGTCAGGCCCAGTGTGCTGTGCTATGCTGTGGGCACAGAGCAGGCAGATCTCGCTGGTTCTTCCACTCTGGTTGGAAGCTCCCTAGCGCATGCTCAGGCCTGCACGTGTGACCACAGTCAGGCTGTGTGAGGGGTAAAGGGGAGAGGAGACTGATTTGATGTGTCACTATTGTCTCTGTTAGCCAAGTGCAAGGTGGTTATCACCTTCAACCAAGGACTCCGGGGAGGGCGCGTGGTCGAGCTGAAGAAAATAGTGGACGAAGCTGTGAAGAACTGCCCGACCATCCAGCACGTCCTGGTGGCACACAGGACAGAAAACAAGGTCCCCATGGGGGAACTGGATGTCCCTCTGGAGCAGGTGGGTTTGCCCCACTTTATGTGGTTTGAAGAGGAGGAGTTTTACCAGGTGAATTGCACCTGGGGCTTGTTGGGTCGTGGCTGTCAGCCTAGGTTTCCTAGAGCTGCCCAGGGTTGCCCTGCAGCACCTGCCTCCCCATTTCCTTTTTGGCCCTCGGGATGGAGCCCAGGGCCTCGTGCCTGCAGAGCATGTGCTCAGCTGCCATGCTGCGTCTCCAGCCCATCTCCTGACCCCATGTCCCTCTGCTGTGGTGGAGCCTGGAAGGTCAAGGAGGTGTCCTCCGGGGTAGAGGCTGCTCTCCGAGGCCAGGCTAAGTCCTCTTTGCCACTTCTCCCCTGCAGGAGATGGCTCAGGAGGCCCCCGTGTGCATCCCAGAGAGCATGGGCAGCGAGGACATGCTCTTCATGCTGTACACCTCGGGCAGCACTGGCACGCCCAAGGGTCTGGTGCACACTCAGGCAGGCTACCTGCTGTACGCTGCGCTGACACACAAGGTAGGTGGGGTGGCGCGCTGGGTGTGCACACAGGGATATGTGAGTCACAACACCACAGAGGTGGGCCTGTGTGTGAGAGGCGTCTGGGTGCTCTGCTTGCGTCCTGGGACAAGGCCCCAGCTGCTCTGATGGCCAGGCTGCTGCTGCTGTCACTGCTGCCTTCGTGGGTTCCTCATGCCATAAAGCGTCAAGAATTGTATCATAGGATGGCATTGGAAATGAAAGAACCTAAATAACAGAGATTTATAATGCCTGGGATGTGGTTTAGTGGTAAGGAGTGTGGTATGTGTATAGGGGTCCTGGGTTTGAGCCCCAGCCCTGGGGGAGAAAAGAGTCACGACTGGAATGGGGTAGAGATGAATGCAGATGCTCACAAAAATTCAGACATTCTCTTCACTTCAAGGTTCATTTTCTTCTTCTGTCTTTAAAAGAAGACATTTTTATAGATCCCTAAAAGATTTGTGGAAGCTGGGTGTGGGCGCTTGGGAAGGTGAGGCAGGAGGAGTGATGCAAATTTGAGGCCACAAAGTGAGTTCAAGGCTCACCTGAACTCCAGGGTGAAACCCTGTCTCAAAAAGACAAAATGAAAACAATTTTTTTTTTGTGGATTCTAGCCCCTACTCATTTTAAAACTAAAATTTATGTATTTTTAATTTTGTATTTTAGGGAATGGTCTACAGGGTGTTGAGGTTCTCGCTACTAGACTGGACTCATAGTGATCCGCCTGTTTACAGCCTCCCAAGAGCTGGGATTATAGGTAGGCGCCACCACACCCAGTCTCCATTGCTGTCTCAGCATTCCCCAGGAATGGGGGCAGAGTGTGCAGCATGGCAGGCCTGGGTATGGAACCCCCAGCCCCTGCACCTGCTTGCAGGCACTTTAATCTGCTGAACTATTTGGCCAGCCCTTAAAACTAAATTTATTTATTTTTTTTCTATTTATTTTATTGAGAAACAAATATCAATGAGACAGTTTCAAAACTGATTAATAGTACAGTTTCGATAATTAATACATTGTACACTGTTATCTTCTTAGTGGTTATCCATAGTACAAGATGCAGACAGAATATCCTGTCCAAACACTGTTAGTACAAATCTTTCTTATTGAATTAAGCGAAAGTAGCTGTATATCTATCCTAACTATTCTGCAATACAGATAAAAGATGGTCCTTCCTTTGTATCACCTTTTTTTTGTTTAGTCCTGTCAGATTTAAAAAGGCAGCATTATAAAAAAATTTACAGTTAGTGTATAGAATTACAGCTGGATTTATTCCAATAAATGCATTTTACAAATCAGCATTCATGTAAGCATGGGGGTATAGTTTTACAGGGTATCCCTGAAAACTTTCAGTACTACCCAGTACTTCCCAGCTGGGCTTGTTTCCCAGAGCACCATCTGTGGACTGGGTTGTGTTGTAGGCCACCTCAGCACCTGCTGGGAGCAGTAACACAGGTAACCCTTCCTGTCGTGGCCACCTCCCACAACACAGACAAGGTACCTCTCCAGGTTTCTGTTTGTCAGCTGGGCTGACCCAAGGCAGAGAGGGCCTCAGCCATCCCAGTGGAGTCTTGGCTGGGTTGGGGACCCACGTCCAGTTCTGACTTGGTCACTGTGGCAGCTGTCGTGGTGGGACCAAAATTCTGATTGACCTGTTGGGTCACATGGGAGGTGATCCCTAGGCCAGGAAGCAAAAGGGCTGTGGGGGAAGGACAAGCAGGTGTCGGGGAGATGGCTCAGTGGAATCAGCGCTTCCCTGGCAAGCGCCAAGGGCCTGAGTTCAACCCCCGGTTCTGAAAAAAAAAAAAAAAAAGAAGCAGGTTTTGGGACAGGGTGTCTGCATGTGCACAGCTTGCAGCTCACCCCTGGGGATGCTGCACAGGGCCAGCATGGAGGACCCGACAGAGAGACAGACAGGCAGATGCCCTGCAGGGCTGCAGAGCAGGTCACCCTCAGGCGGATCATGGAGCTCCATGCTGATGGTGCGGCTGACTTCCAGCTGACCTTATGCAAGACACAAAGCTTTCTGACCCTAATTTTCTCAGCTCCCCCACCTCTATTGGTAAAGGGACGCTGCAAAGATGTGCAAGCTGGGCAAGATGCTGGGAAACTTTCTTGGCTAAATGCCAAGAAAGTTGCAGGCTGGATGTGTCCATTATTTACATAAAATGTACACCGGGGAGCAGTAAGCAGGGGGACACTGCATCCATGCTCAGAGTGTTTCCAGGGCACTGTGGACACGAGCAAGAAATGTGGGGCTGGAGGGAGGGGAGGAGCTTTCAAATTTCCCTCCATACTTGGGGATTTTGGGGGCATTGGGTGTAGGCACTGTTGGGCTCCTGTGGATGACACTGAGTGTGAATGGCAGCGGAGAGGGAAGTGTGCATCTTCTTGCTTATCTATACAGCTCTGCGCTGGGCACAATGCTCAGGCCTTGGGGTGTGAGGAGGCCTGGGACACCCCCAGGACTGCAGGCAGCCAAGTGACCTGCCTGCCTGGTAACAGGCGGAGGCAAGGTTGTTTGGGTACAGCATGGGCTTTTGACTCTGCCCTACTGTGGCTGGTGCAGCTGCCGCAGCTGCCACAGCTGAAGTTGGGTAACAGTCTTCACAGCTGCGGCCACCTTGAGCTCAGGTGACAGTTGTGCCCAGCTTGGACAAATGTATTATTACATGTGAAAGAGGAGAGGCTACTGGCCTTATAGCGGCAGAAGTGCCAGTGGGCTAACACCAAGGACGGAGCATCATGAGGTGGAGCAGAGTGGCTCACTTTATGGCAGCTGTGAGCAGAGCACAGGGGAAGAGCCAGAGAGGCAGGACCAGTGGCGGGATGTGGTCCTGGGGCCATACCTCCAGGACCCACGCTGACACCGCCAGAGGTGTGCTCTTCCTGTCTCCAGTCAAGCTGACGTCAAGGTGAACTGTCACAGGCTGTGGTCATCACTAGGGCTCTAGTGCGTGCACATGTGCACAAGCATGTTTGTGTGCCTGTGTGTGTTTGCCATGTATGTGTGTGTGCATCCAGGTATGTATGTGCTTGTCCATGTACCTGTGCACTTGTGTGTATGTCCATGCATGTATGCTTGTGATGGTGGAAGTGCAGTACTGGAGGGACAGCTGCTGACTGTGAAGGATGTTGGGGTGTTCAGTGGTATAGGGGGCTGCCAGGCTGTGGTCCCCTGAGGAGTGACTGGCCCCAGGCGCCTGGCCTCCCCCCAGGAGCTAAAGGCTTGGCAGTGTGGGTCCCAGTTGAATTCATAATCCCCTTGGCCCCATGCTGTGCGGGTGAGGGTGTCTTGGTTAGCCAGCAAGCAAAAGCCTATTCTTCCACATGGACGCACAGCTCTGCAGGCGCCTGGCTGTTCACAGCCCCGATGAGCTACTACAAACTCCTGGGTGTCCTGACTACTGGTTGGCAGCAGCAGGACCCTGGTGACAATGCACCGAGAGCTCCAAGCAGTCTTTAGAACATACAGAAAACCACCCAGACTACATGTGTGGCTCTGTGGGGCATCTAAGCAAACACTGAACTCTGGTCAACACACAACACTGCCAGCCATGCGGGAGCTGCACCAAGTTCCTACTTCATTAGGGCACAGCTCGGGCTCCAGAGAGCCCCTCCAGCCCCTCACCATGGCCCCAGGGCCTCCCCCATCCATGGCTCAGCACTCTCTGGCAGTGCGTGTCTGCTGTGAGCCTGGCAGCACTCTGGCATCTGGCTGCCTCCAGCCACGCACATCTGCAAGGGGGGCTCTGCTGGGCGCTTACAGCACTCATCTTTCCCTGCTGTCCCCCCTTGTGAAGCCCCTGTGACCCCTGCTGCTGGTGGCCGTGAGTAGCTGCCTCAGTTACAGACCCCCGGCAGGCTCCACCTTGCTTCAGTGACGCATGGGAACGTGGTGGGGAGGGGAGGATGCCGCCTCACGGCTCCCTGTGTCCGCAGCTTGTGTTTGACTACCAGCCCGGAGACGTCTTTGGCTGTGTGGCGGACATAGGCTGGATCACGGGACACAGCTATGTGGTGTATGGACCCCTCTGCAATGGTGCTACCAGCGTCCTTTTTGAGAGCACCCCAGTTTATCCCAATGCTGGTGAGGACCCAGGATCCCATCCGGGGCCTGTGCTGGGGGGCGGGGCTGGGTGCAGGTGAAGTGTGGGTCTCATGGTCCTGTGGGCCGGATGTCAAGGGATAGCAGAGCTGCCAGCCTTGGCCTTGCAGGTGGATGGGACTGGAAGCTGCGTCTGCAGGGTGTTCGGTGGTGGGGTCCAACAAGCAGCCGGGTGACAGCACATCTTATGCCACCCTCCTGGGTTTCCTTCCCCCTGGCTTAAGCTGCTTGCCATGGGCTCCCTTAGCGTAGTCCCTTCTGCCTCTGCAGCAGCCTCGCTGGCCAGCCCAGCCCCTCCTTAAATCCAGTTTGGCAGACTGTGGAGCATCCACGCTGGGCGTGGCTGGAGCCCCCCCCCCCCCTTAAGTAGGGAGTTTTAGAGTGGGAGAGGGTGCAGGCAGGACTGGGACTTAGGTGTATCATATTCAGGTCCCTCAGGGAGCAGTGTGGGATTCTGGGGTCAGTTGTCTTGTTGGTCCCAGGCTTGGCTATGAGGTGTGTATGGTGCAGGGGGAAGACACATCACCCCTTCCCAAGGGACTGGGCCCCTCTTGGGGACCATGGGCAGATGTCTGCACGCATCTGTGCCTGGCTCCTCCTGCTGATGACTGGGTTGCCCTCCTGCAGGTCGGTACTGGGAGACGGTGCAGAGGCTGAGGGTCAATCAGTTCTACGGTGCCCCGACCGCCATCCGGCTGCTCCTGAAGCTTGGGGATGGCTGGGTGAAGAAGTACGACCGCTCGTCCCTGCGCACCCTGGGCTCGGGTGAGCGTGCATGCTGTGTGGGTGGGTGGCAGAAGGTACAGCTGGGCGGGGAGAGGCCGAGGGTGGGTGTGTCGGCTGGACATGGAGAATTAGATAGGGAGCTCCTGCTTTGTGGGCAGATGGGTGTAAGGCTGTGTGGGTGTGGGGACAGCAGTGCGTGCCCTTGTGCTGCGTGGTGTCCAGCACTGGCTCTGTCCAGCACTGGCTCTGGACACCACACAGTGATAGTGACAGTGCTGTCACTGGCTGTGTTGCCTTGGGGGAGCCCTCAGCTTCTGCCTGTGGTGGTGGGGCGCTGGAGCTCCCGCAGCACTCCCTTGGGTATCTGGTTGCGCTCCTTTCCTTGGAGCACATGTCCAGAGTCAAACTTTGGAGTGACAGGGCAAACACAAGCTTAGCGTTAGAATTGGCCCCAAACTATTGCCAAGTAGTTGTGTTGAGTGTGTACTTCTAAGTATGAGGAAAAGTGTCCTGCTTTCCTCCCCAAACTACGCTGTGTGTGATACCCCTGCCCACGTTCTTGCCTTTTCGGTATTGGATTCCGTAACAGCTGCTTGTGTTTTCTGGCAAGTGTGAAGGATTCGCAGCCTCTCCAGGTCTCCTCAGGTGACACTTGGAGAAGCCTCTAGCTGTGGCCCTGGCCTCCGAGGGGTGCTAAGCCCTGCCTCTCTGTGTGCTTCCAGTGGGTGAGCCCATCAACCACGAGGCCTGGGAGTGGCTACACAACGTGGTGGGAGATGGCAGGTGCACGCTGGTGGACACTTGGTGGCAGACAGGTGAGCGTCCCCAGTAGGTGTAGGGGCTGGGGTCTAGGCTGGGGCTGGGGCTCTCGGATCCAGGGAGGCGGAGTCCATTGCACTACCCAGGGTACAGCCTGGCCTCGCTCCCCCGCCGTTCTGTGCTTGTGAGAACATCTCAGGACCTTGATTTCCCAGCCTATAACCCGGGGGCCCCCAGGCCTGGTATGAATGGAATGGGCTGGCATAGGCTGTGCCTGATGGGCCTGGTGTGGTGAGCATGCAGGGCTCCCTTCTTTCTGCAGCCACCTGCCTTGTTGGCATGGAGCCCCTGAGCCCAGCTATGGGGTAGAGGTGAGTCTGTTGTCCCGGAGCCCCAAGTCCAGGTTGGGGCTAACAGGAAAGGCTGCTTTCCATGGTGCTCTGTTTCATTGTCCTCTCCTAATCCTATATCTGACTTTGGGTGTGTGGGGCAGGAGCCCACTACAGACACGGTGATGCAGATCTCTGAGGTGCCACAGGGGTCCCATCTGAGTGGGTAGAGAGTTTGCACCCCTTCTCTCCATCTGGACAACACAGGGGGGTGCCAGAGCAGGCTAGGTCTTGTAGGTGCAAGTAGGCGCTGGCCAGGCCAGTCCTCCTCATGTTCTTGGGCAAGCAGGTAGTCTTGCCCCTCCTTGTTCACAGGCAGAGGCCAAAGCCAGAGGGCAACATGGGGCATGGGAGGCACAGGCACCACACTACAGGACTTGGCGCTTGGCCACAGAATGGTCCCAGGGATGTGGCACCTGGCCACTGGGTGGGTCTCAGGGTTACACACACCTGGGCACTTCCTGTGTCCACACTGAGGGGTGTGCGCCATGTTTACCAGGACAGAGGCCCCAGGGCTACTGGCGCTGCCTCCTCTACCACTCTGCTGACCAGCACGGTGGCATGCTGTGTCTTCTGGGGACACATGCAGTCTGGGCTCCTGGCCACCCAGCCTTTCCTCTCCCCTCTCACAGAGACTGGTGGCATCTGCATCGCGCCCCGGCCCTCGGAGGAAGGGGCCGAGATCCTCCCTGGCATGGCCATGAGGCCCTTTTTCGGCATCCTGCCCACTCTTATGGATGAGAAGGTATGTGGGGCCCTGCACCAGCCAGTCCCCTGCTGCCTATCAGCCCTTGCTCAGGGACATTGCTGTGGGGGGAAAGCCTGGCTCTTGGGAGAAAGGTTCTGGATGGCTACCTCTGGCCTGCTTGTCATCTTTTGGCCTCAGTCGAGCAGTGAGTTTGATGATGCCGACAACTGGCTCTCCTGTCTGACTCTCCCTCTGTCTTCTGGGTCTGCAGGGCAACGTGGTAGAGGGTGGCGATGTCTCCGGGGCCCTGTGTATTTCTCAGGCCTGGCCGGGCATGGCTAGGACCATCTACGGTGACCACCAGAGATTCGTAGATGCTTACTTCCGAGCCTACCCAGGTGAGTGGCTGGGGATGCCCTTGGGCCAGTCCCAAGTTCTGCTGGAACAGTCTTGGGAGTGGCAGTGAAGGTTAGGCAGGTAGAGGCTCCTGCAGAGTCTCCTTCTGTGGACTGTGGAGTCAGCCTGACCTTGGGCCTCTGTGGGCTGAGGCTGTGAGAGTGAGTGCCAGGCTGGGATGGCTTCGTGAGCTCTTAGCAGAGGGGAGTAGAGAAGACACCTCAGATGCTGGCCACAGCTGGGTGTCCTGCAGCTTATGTTTGTGCATTCCCAGTTGTTCTCCTGCTGTTGGGCCAGAAGTTAGGTGGATGCCACCTTATCTCACTGGAACTGGTGGCCTCCAGTCTCAAGCTGTACTGAGGTCCTTTGGGGTTCCTCAGATGTGCCCTTTCGGCCCTACTCCCCACATCTGTGGTGGGCAGTACCAGCCGCCTGCTCAGGAGGCTTGGCTGAGGCTGTGGGGAGACTGTGGGAAGGGTGGCTAGGATGTCCCACCTCGGAGGCCAAGGGTTCAGGGCTCCTGAGCGGATCCTCCACTGGGCTGCAGGCTACTACTTCACCGGAGATGGGGCCCACAGAACCCAAGATGGCTACTACCAGATCACAGGGCGCATGGACGATGTCATCAACATCAGTGGTCACCGCCTGGGCACGGCAGAGATTGAGGATGCCATGGTGAGCCCAGCCCAGCCTCTCCTTTGCCCTGGCACTGTGATGGTGCTGTTGGCTGCTGAGTTGGGTGGAAATATGACCTTCGAGCCCTCCAGGCCATGGGAGTCACCACACTTTGTCCTGTTCTCTGTGGTGCAGGCTGACCACCCTGCTGTGCCGGAAACCGCTGTCATTGGCTATCCCCATGACATCAAAGGGGAAGGTGAGTGTCCCTTTGGGCTGCCTCACTGATGTCCACTCTCATAACTATTACAGGTGTCGCCTAAGCACAGTGGCCTGGGAGTGCTGGTGGCAGGGTCTGCAGGGCCAAGCTTTAGTTCCTCTTCTCTCTCAAGCAGAGGTTTTGGGGAAGAAACCAGCAACACACACTGGGCAGGTTGGGGCCCTGAAAGGCTCTCACTCCCCATGGGAGCCATGGCCCAGTTGGCCCTCACTGAGCTTGGCAAGCTCATCCTGGGTCTCTGGGCCCTGGACAGGGTGCTGTCTATCCCTTGTCACAGGGCATCCTGAGCCCTCCCATGGCACAGCCCCGTCCTCCACCTGCTGGCTCAGTATCCACGGTGGCAGTGGGATGTGGGGTGGAGCCTGGCTTGGGCTTTGGTGTGTCTAGACTCTGGAGGAACCTGACTGTGTTCCCCCTGGCACAACCACCTTCTGGAGACACGGAATGAGCAAGCCTCCTTCTTGCCTGGGACACACTTGGCCTCTCTGGTGCCAGCGTGGGCCAAGTCTCTAGGCCTGGGAACAGGCAGGAGTGCCGGTGTGTTATAAACCACCTAGCCTGATATGATCCTGTGCTCAGTCATACAGGGCACACTGACCCCACACCAAGGTCACCACCAGGGGCATGCTGACCTCATGCCAAGGTCACTGCCGGGCACACCACTACTGGCCATACTGACTGGGCACCAGCTCACTGCTGGGCACACCAGTCCCATGCCAGGTTACTGCTAGACACACTGGCCCCACACTCCCTTACCACTGAGCACAGTGACCCCGTGCCAGGTCACCTGAGGACACACTGACTGTGTCAGGGCCCACTGCCTCCAGGCCTGGGAGGAAGACTCCTCACTCCTGTTAAGGGCTCTTCGGCTCACAGATATCACCTGCCTCCTGCGTTCCATCTCCTCTTTGGTATTTACTCAGCAACTTTTTGTGTTTTGCTGTATTTCACTTTGGTGTTTTGTGCGTGCTGACAGCAGGCCTCTCCACTCTGTACCCTCTGCCCCCACATAGGGTCTTTAACTTGACCCACTGTGAAACTTGAAATCTGCGCAAGCACTTCAGAACCAGCACTTTCTTTGTTATTAACTTTTGTTTTCTACTTTCATCTTTATTGTTATTTATTTAAACTTACTCAATTCTCTTTAGCTTCTTGAGTTGATAGTTTATTTATCAAGATCTTTTTTTTTTTTTTTTTTTTTTGAGGAACTGGGGCTTGAACTCAGACCCTTGCACTTGCCAGGGAAGCACTTATTCCACTGAGCCATCTCCCCAGCCCAGAACCAGCACTTTCTGTTGCTGGAAAGCAGCTGGGTGTGGAGGTCACTGTGGCTCTGTCAGGGTGGATGTCGGGGCTGTCCCAGCAGAGGTCTTGTCCACGTGTAATCAGTCTGGGGACAGAGGTGGGAAACTTGCTGCCCGGTGTGGTGACTTGTGTCCCACCTGCAGGCCCTCCGTGGTGGGGTCTGCGTTTCCCTCTGACCAGGCTGCAGACCTGGTGTCTGGTCTGGGCCTTCGTGGATGAGGGCTGAGCTGTGGGGCTGCTTGGGTGTGGGCCTGAGAGAGCTGTGGCTGTGCAAGGGCCTCACTGGCGCCATCCACACTGCTACCCTGGGCAGGCAGACTTCAGCCTCATGTCTCATGAGGGTTCTGGGCCGGGGCAGAGTCCTGGGTGAGTACCTGGGCTGATGGGGCCCACCAGCAGCTGCGGCACCTCTGTCCTGAGCTGGCCCGGGTTGCCTGCCCTCTGGCAGGAATTTCAGGGAGTTTCCTGGTTTCTCACATACTGGAGCGTCCTTTTACTTTATGATGGCTCAGCAGCAGTTCGGTCTGTGTATCTTCCTTCCCCCTTCTGGTGAGGGCTGAACTTTAGGGGGGTGGCCCTGGGTTGGGTTTGCTCCGGACTCAGGCAAGGCCTAGCTGGGCTTTTCTCCCTCTGGCCTCAGTCTTCCACCCTATCCACGTGGCTCCTCCCTTTATCTCCACTCCAACGCCACAGTCCAGGCTGCTCCACCTCCTGTCAGCACCAGAGGAGCTGGGTTCTTCCCATCGTAGATCTTTGTCACTGTCTGTGGGTGGGGTCAGAGGCACAGCTACATCCAGACAGGGTCAGGAAAGCCTCCATAGGGCGTCTCAGGGCTGGACTGGGTCTTGAGGGGTGAGTAGGAGCTTGCCATGTGGAGATGGGAGCCTTTAGGGCAGAAGATGAGGCCCTGTAGATCACCTCTGCAGGCATAGTCACCCTGACAGCGGTCAGCAGGTGTCCACGGGGTTCTGCTGTGCTCCAGCCCAGTATCTAGGCTGGGGGCATAGTGGACAGTAACACAGGGTCTCTGCCCTTATGGCCACTATCCTGGGAAGAGGCAGAGATGAGAGAGATGGACCAGGATGGCAAATAGGTCTGAGGGAACTGCACAGCCCCATGAGAGGTGTGCAGGACAAAGAGGAGGTGGGACTGGTGTGGGTGTCCCAGGAGGGCAGCAACAGTAGGGGTGCTTGGGGACACCAGGGACTCACAAGGAGGGACAGTAAGTCTAGGGAAATGGGCTCCGGTCACAGCTCTTCGGAGCCGCTGGGATATCAACAGGCAAAGCAGATGTCTGTTGCCAACTGGGGCTGCCCAGCACCTCCCCGAGGCAGGAGCAGCCGAGAGGTGTGTCCTCACCCTCATCCTTGGGTTGGTCTGAACTTGAGTGGCTTTGGTGTTGAGGCTATGCCTGCTTCATCTGCACTATAGTGTGTGTGTGTGTGTGTGTGTGTGTGTCCCATCATCCCTGTCACCGGTGGTTATAGCTGAGAGATGAGCAGAATTCGCATGAGCTGAGTCACAGTAGCCATCAGGACCTGCTATAGTGCCAAGCTCTGCGTGGCTGCCTGGCTGGCATGCCCATGGAGCTGTCAGAACCACTGTTACTGTTTGTGGTAGAAATGCACTGTCAGGGCTGTGGCAAAAGGAAGCAGTCACCATGGTGTCACCGACACAGGATTTAGAGATCCCTTGGAACCAGGTGTGACAGCACATGCCTGTCATCCCAGCTACATGGGAGGCTGAAGCAGGAGGGTTGCTTGATCAGGACCTGAAGGATAGCCTGGGCCACACAGCAAGATTCTGGCCTAAGACCAAACCCTTTGGGTTGATGGTGGGTGGCACTAGGACACATCCAGGCAGGTGTAGCTGTGACACTCCCAAACCTGTGCTTTCCTTCCAAGCCGCGTTTGCCTTCATCGTGTTGAAGGATGAGGCTGGTGATGCGGACATGGTGGTGAATGAGCTCAAGTCGATGGTGGCTGCCAAGATTGCCAAATACGCTGTGCCGGACCAGATCCTGGTAAGTGGACACCTTGGGAACACAAAGCTCTTGTTAGGCCCCTTCTGCACATCTGTGGTGTCCGTGACGTTGTCTCGGATGTGCTTGTTGCTCCCTTCCCATCAGCGCCCAAACAGGCAAGAAGCTGGTATATGGCACACGCCTATGACCCCAGCTACGTGAGAGGCTGAGGCAGGAAGATCAAGAGTTTGAGCCTAACCTGGACAACTTAGAGAGGCCTGGCTCAACATTTAAAAAGGCATGGTGGGGTTGGTGTGTTAGGGTGTTGCAGCTCAGCATAAAGCCCCAGGTTCAATGCCCAGTGCCACAAAATGAAACAATGATCATGGGGTGAGCTGCTAGGTTCCCCAGGGGCAGGTGAGGCCTTGGCCTGTGGCTGCCAGATGTGAGCCCAGGACTTGGTGCTGGAGAGAATTAGGGCTTTTATTTTCCTTTTGGGATTCCATGTTAGCTTCTGAAAAAATATCAGACAATTTAGAAGACAGAAAAGCTCACTGTGGCTCCCAGCACCAGAGGTTCCAGTGGGCAGGTTGGTGGGCTCTATTGTCTAGGGAAGGAGGCAAGGGCCACCACATCCTGGGAGGCATGGCTCAGCAAAACACCTCAGCACATGGGCCTCGGGGGCCTCCTGGGCTCACATGCAGCAGAGCAGAACCCAGGACTTGGCACACGCTGGGCACATGCTCTGCTGCTGAATAGTCCCACCGGAATTAAAGCAGATTTTCATAGATAGGTGTGGAAAGAACTAGAATTCTCCCCACATGTGGCTTCTGAACACATTTCCTGGGGCCAATGAGGGGAGAGCCTATTGCCCTGGGCAGAGCCGGGCCACCTTGGCCCCAGGGCCTCCCTTCCTCCCTCCTTGGCATCCCAAGTAGCCCTGGGTCCTGGAGCTTGGGGAGGGGTTCAGGGTCACTCAGTGTTCACACCTGGCTTGGCTTGTGGTGCTGCTGGGGAACTGGCTGAGTCCCAGAGACAGAGCCACTGTTGAACTTTTGTGAGGTGCTGAGCCTCATCCCCAGATAGCTCCTAACCTTTCACTCCTGAGTGGCACTGCCTGGGCCATGGCTGCTTGAAAATGTGAAGTGTTAAACTTTCAGACTTTCTTCTGTAAAGTTGCTGTCAGCTCTCAGGAAAGACAAAACTCAAAGTTGCTGTGGGGTGTGCCTGGGTCACTGCTCTGGAGCCCAGAGGTGGGTGGTGAGGTCAGCAGGGTGGCCGTGTGTCACTGCCCGGCAGGCCTGCAGCTGAGTGCCCCACGGTCGCTCCTGCCCCCTGGGTGGTCTCAGCCTTGGGCCCAGGCTGGGGGACGGTGAACCAGAAACCTTCACACAGTGTCAGCCTGAGTGTGGCCCTCACCCCAGGCCACCACGCCCATGCTGCACCTTGTTACCAGGTGGTAAAACGTCTCCCCAAAACTCGCTCTGGAAAAGTCATGCGGCGGCTCCTGAGGAAGATCGTTACGGGCGGAGCCCAGGACTTGGGGGACACCACCACCCTGGAGGACCCCAGCGTCATTGAGGAGATCCTGAGCGCCTTTCAGATGCACAAACAGAGACGGGCAGCCGCCAAGTAGGGTGCTGCTTTGGCTGAGCTTGGACCTGGCCCAGGGGTGCAGCCTCACTTGCCCCTCGAGACATCCCAGTGCACTGTCCACACCCTGAGGTAAAGCTGGCCTGCAGCGCCGCCTCCTCCAGGCCCTGGAGAACCTGCCCTGCCAAGGAGTCAGCACACACAGTGGCTCCTGTGCCACTCACCCTGGGCTCGGTTTCCAGGCCCGGGGCAGCAGCAGCGTCTGGACCCACACCTGGGGCAGTCACACTTCTCCAGAAGTTGTCAGAGACAAAAAGCAGAGGCAGTGCTCTTTCTGATCTTGAACTTAGAGAGCACTGTGGGAGCGTTCCAGTGTGAGGTGAGGATGGACACAGACGCGCGTGCTCGTGCACACACACACACACACATACACACACACACACACACACACACTGCAGCTGTCAGGGAAATCTCCACTGCCTCCATCAGCGGGAAGGAAGGGTGCATGCTCAGATGCCTGTTAGCAAGTCTGGATGTCTAGTCAGAGTTCGGTGCCTCTGCCTGTCTGCTGTCCTGGCCACTCTGTGCCCATGTACCATGTCTGTCCCTCCTGACCTTGGTCTGTCGCCTCAGAAGGGATGAGCCTTGACTCCCTAACTCAGAAGCTGCTCCGGGCGGACTTGTTTTTCTGACCTGTGACCTGGCAGAGTATGCTTTTTGCTTGATGCCTTAGGAAAACTCAGGTGAACCTCAGGGCAGCTCGGCCTGAATGGGGCTCCTGGTCTGGGGGCAGGGAGAGCCAGAGGCCCAGGTAAGACCTGCACTGCCCCCAAGCTCCTCCTCAATGTGCCTTAAGTCCTGGAGACTGCACTGTGCTGTGGGTTGGGACACTCAGTGCCTGGTGAGTGAGGCCAAGGTGTGATGCAGGCGGAGGCTACCCCGTGCACCTCAGGGCTATGTGCCTGTTCTAGGGGTCAGGTGCCACACACTGGTGGAGGCCTCACCGTGCTGGCTCTGGGCAGTCAGGTGAGTGCCAAGACCCCATGGTGGCAGAGGCCACAGCAGGCACCACATTGAACAGCAGTGCCTATTACCACTAGCGATGCTGAGCCACACACCGGGCCATACAAGAGCTGTGGCTGTCTTATGAGATGACTTGGGTCTCTGGCTCTCGCATGGGGTGCAGAGGTGTTCAAATAAAGTTTTATTTTGTTCATTCTCCACCCAGAGCCATGCTTTGGTGGATGCTGCTCTTTTCTTTCTTTGGTCTTGGGCATTGAACTCTGGCCTTGCCCAGGTGCTTGCCCCTGGCCTATTCTTTCCACCACACTCATCCTAAGCAGAGAACCAGAAGGGCAGCAGGTCTGTCCCCTCAGAGGTGCTATCAAAGCTCGTGCTCTCACTGAGGACATGCTTGGCAGCCACTGTGTCACCTCCCTGGCACAATGCAATGCCTTCTGTGACACCTCACCCAGTGCCCAGCTATGGGTGGCACTCAGGCCACAGCTCTACTTCATAAGAGTCCAGGCCTCCAGTTATCAAAGTCTCATTTTAAATGTCTGCACCAGCCCTGGGTGTGAGGAACTATTAGTCTGCTGCCCTGTGTTGGGGGCCATTAGAGGGAGAAGCCACTGAACTGGTATGAGGAGCTTATATCCCAGCTGCCCAGGATATAGGAGCCGGGGGGGGGGGGCTGTTCTCAGGGGTCTTCTTGATCTCTTGGGCCATGAGTTGGCTGAGCACTGAGGTGGGCTGAGGGCCCCAGCATTTGCGTGAGAGAGACCTAGGGGCAGTGTCTCACCAGCAGCACCCTGGCCACACCTCCTAGGCTGTGTCCCTGCAGGCAGCTGTCCTGCTCACTCTTCTGTAAGGCAAAGGCCCTGGCTTCTATGGGTGCCTCCCCCATCCTGGATGCAAGTGCTCCCTGGACCCCAGTTCCTGGCATTGGGAACAGGTTCAGGCCTGACTGTGTGACACTGACAGGGCCCCTGAGAGGCGCACAGACACTATGACAGACACTTCTCTCTTGCTGTTGGTTTTCTGTTCTGGTTAGAATATCCTGACAGGGACCAAGTTGGCAGCCCTGAGATGCAGAGAGGAGGGTGGGCAGCCACCACAGTGGCAGAGGAGCATCAGAGGCATCAGCAATGGTCAGCCTAAATGTGCAGCGCCTCGCAGGCCAGCACAGCAGGTGACATTTATGATGACACATGGTGACACCACATTTGTCAGACCCAGGATGGAGGAGGGCACAGTGTGCTCTCAGAACAAGCTCTGTCTCTCCCAAAGAACACACAGCTCCCTCGTCAGTATGCCCAAGTCCCTAGGGGTGTGTGTCCCCATAGCATCTGAAATAAAACCCAGGAGAATCACGGCCATTGTCCGTGACCCAGCAACACAAGGCTCTCACGGGTGTGTCGCAGGAAACAGCCTGCAGCTGGACCACGAGGAGCTTCCCTACCAATAGGATTTCTTTCGTTTTTGGTAGGAGTTGTGCCAACATGAGTTTCACTGACTTCTAATCTGAAATGTATAGGTATTACCCCCTTCATCTTGTTTGGGAATTAGGCTGCATAACAGGCTTAAGCCACATGAACACATCATTGCGGACTCCAAATGCCGGCTGGGGCTTGGTCCCCTTGGGTGCTGGGCATGGAACCAGGGCCTCACACATATCAAGCCTGGGCTGTACTCGAGCCCCCACCAGCAGCTTTTTGTTTGTTTTTGTAGTATGCAGGATCAAACCCAGGGCCTTTGCATTGAGCCACACCCCCAGCCTTTTTATTTGTATTTATTATTTTGAGACAGGGCTTCACTTAACTACTAAGATGTCCAGTATCAGACAGATGGAAACAAGTTTTGCTACGGACTAATCAGCTACCCACCCCATTCATATGCAGACAGCCTACCTCTAGAGTGATGGTATTTGAAGGCAAAGGTGGGGCAAGAGCCCCTACATAGAGACACCCAAGCCTGCTTCCTGTCTGCTGTCTGCCATGTGAAGACACAAGGCAAAGATATCAAAGGCGATTCTAATTTGTTCTCATTAAAGACAGAACTGCACATCCACACATACCATTGGGGTGGAGATGCACGCGTGGCTGTGGCCTGCCAAGGCTGCTGGGTGGATGGAACCCAAGAACACAGGCTGCACCCGGCATCTCCAGCAGCATTGGGAAAGTGTGGCACGGACAGAAAGATCACAGGAGGTGCCCTGAGGCTTCACTGGAAGCCGCTCTCGGCAGTGGGTATCAGGAGTCAGTTACCGGCTGGGTGCTGGCAGCTTCTCCTGGAGTTCACTCAGGGTCTGCGGCCTCAGGGCCAAGGTCCTACCTGGGCTGGGTGTTGAAGGAGCGCTGTCATCTGTGGGGCACGTAGCAGACTGTGGTGCTCCCAGGAGCCGTCCCAGGCTCCCGGGCTGCTCCTCAGGGCAGGGGCTGCCCATTCAAGAATCCCAGGCTGCACCTGGACTTTGAAGGACTCTGCTCTGCATGATTGGTGGGGACCTGCGGAGCAGCTCTGGGGACCACTGACCAAGCTTCATGCAACCCTTATTTTCTTGTTTCCTCATACGAAAGTGGATAAAGAACCTTCAAGCTAGACTTTTCTTTGGTGAAAACAAAAAAATACAAAAGTATTTAAGACATCAACAGTGTAGCAAGTTGGTGTAAAACAACCCAGGTAGCCCCAGTGGAATTGTGACCGTGGCCTGCCAGACGCCATCCTGCTTGGATGGAATCTGTGGGCCTGCTGAGCATGAGGGCTTGGGGAGACCCCGTGGCCCCACCTCCGGCACGGTGGACTCTAGAGGGTGAGACAGGGAGAGTGGACCCAGAGCGCAGGTCCACTTAGTGTAGTCTCTCTGGGGTGAGCATATTAAACCAGGAGGGCAGGGAGCAGAGTCCCTGAAATCAGCCAGTGAGGCAGGAAGGCCTTCCTGCTGAGAGGTTGTGAACATTTTGGGCTACAAGCACTTAGGAGCTCAAGGAAGTAGGGGTGCTTCAGGAGCCACACGCTGGCCAGCAAGGAGGGAAGCCCCCCAGGACCCCACTGGTGCTGCCTGTCTGCTTGGATGTCCTCCTTCAGCATCTGCAAAGCCCGAGCCCGTCTCTGCTGTCTGTCTCTGTCCATCTGCTGCTGCCACAGCAGAGTAGCTAACACCACAGAGCAGGAGGTTGTTTGGCTCGTGGTTGTGGAGGCTGGGAAGTCCTGGAGTTTGGCCTGGCATCTGGTGAGGGCCTTCATGCTAGGTCACCCGTGGTGGGAGGCAGAGAATGAAAAGCAGGGAAGAGTGGACACCCCACTGTGAATGTATGGAGCCCCCTTGACATCAGTCCTGTACCCCATGACCCAGTCTACTCTCATCAGGCCACCTGTCAACATGGGAGCTTTGGGGACACAGTTAAGCCCAAGTGTCACCCCATGCAGTCTCCTACTCTTCCCCATGTGTGAGCCTTTGCTGTCACCTTCCTCACTTGATGGGTAGCTCCCCAGATGACATGGCTGCCGAGCTGATGTGCACATGGGGCTCTGGGCTGTTGATAAGCACTATGAAAGTTCAGAGCAGACCTAGCAGAGCATACAGCATGGGCCAGAGCCCTGTGGTTGCCTGCATGACACTGCAGTCCCCTGCTGCTGCTGTGGTTCACACATGACCAGAGTGGAGGTGGCCATGTCTTCACCTCTTCTGCTTTCTGGGGTTGGGAGAAGGGTAGCTCTTGCTCAGCTGCCCAGCTTCCTCCTTCCTCTTACCAGGACAGAGGCCTTTGGGGACACCCACACTTGTTCCTTTCCGGCCTAGCTGCAGGCCTGCTGTTGCACTCCACTTGTCTCCCCGGTCCCAGTTGACATTGGTTTGGCCATAGTGGCTGTTGCTCAATGCAGACCCGCTGCCACCACCTGTTGCAGTCTTTATCCAAATATATAGAAGGCACTGGTTAGTGACCCTGGAACACAGGTGCCACCTCGGCCAAGGCGACAAACCAGAGGGCAGGAAGACTACCCTACATCTGCCTGGAGGAGGGCTGGGTATTGGTTGTCTTAGTGTACTGTTAGCAAACCTGTGAGGATGAATGGATGTCAGGAACTCTGTTGGAGCGACCCGTACTGCAACATCTTTCAGAATTTTCTTGGTCAGGGTCACTGACTTAGGTTTTGTCTGTCCTGTAGATCCAAGTTTTAGCCTCGTGACCTTTGGGATGGTCAGCACACCTTGACTAACATCTTTTTTTAAAAAAAATTATTTATTTATTTATTTATTGGTAGGACTGTTTCAATAATTAACACATTGCATACATTCTTCCTAGTGGTTAATTGCTGTACGAGATGCGGACATGATATCCTATTTACAAACACTATTAGAACAAATCCCTCTATTCATTAAGAGAATGTAACTATGTATCTATCCTAACCATTTTGAATACACAGACACAAAATGGACATTCATCTGTATCCCCTTTTTTGGTTTAGTTCCATTATTTGAATAGTATAGGTGTGTTAACTCAGCAAAATATTGTAAAAGAGACCAATAGTCCATAATAGTATTGGGTCTTCCGCTTCACTGGCAATGTCAGAAATTGTTGACCTGAGTCCCCTACAGCTCAACATAACAGCATGACTTTACTTCTTATACTTTGTTTTTATGCTTTTCTGCTGGATGGTTAAGACCAAGGTAAAGCAAGACCTATGCAACAAGAGTTGTAGCTTTTGGGTCTGATAAGCTCAGTGAAATCCCCTCAGGATTTATCCTGAGATCCTGTACCTCAGATTGCAGAATCTTTCTCAGTGTCATCCATGTGGATGAGTCATGGCCATTGCTTGGCCAATGTGCTCTCTGTGAAAGCCTGAGAGAATGTTTTCTCTCCATGTGACTCTCCTTGGGCACACTCTACATCATTGATCACTTTCCTCTTTGGCCCCATAATCTCCTTGATCAGAAAATTTGGGACACTATGGAGTTACATGACATTACAGTACAAGTTCTCATATGTCCTGAGTCTTAAATGACCTTAGAAGGTTAGGGCCAAAATGTTGGCGTTCCTTGTGGCCCTCCTTTTTCTCTAATTTTGGTCTGCAAACTTAGGTTGTTAACCATCCAGAAGACAAGCTTATTCTTATTACCATACAATGTAGGCTGTTAAGCTTAACCTCACTATCTGTCTGAATATCAAACATCTTAGGCATAACAGGGAACAGGTATTTTTCATCAAGTATTGATATGTTGAACTTTAAGTCCCTAGAGAATCTGATGAAAAAACATTTAAAAATTAAAATATATTTTAAAAATAGGTATAAGGAATTATATAATTCTTATGTTTACGTGTAAAAATAAGACACCTTCTGAAGGACATCAGCTCACACCCTGCACTGCCTCCTTGTGACTGATAGTGAAATACTGAACCCCTACAGGTACATACATTTATATAACCGAAGGAAAAGGTCAGCAATAACCATCAGAAGAGAAATGATTAGTGGTTTTCAAGAAAGGGTTTGAGTACAATAAAATGATTACTCAGTGACCCGTCTGCCATGAAAGGCCAGTGTTGAAGGAACGACCGGCTAATGAGTTCACCTGGTGAGGTTAATAACAGTACATCCACACCCCTGGGTAGGGCTGAGGGCCAAAAGCCTTTCTTATGGGGCTCTTTACCTGCTGAGACTGGGTTAACTTCAAGAATCCCTCCAAGTAGGGCAATCTAGACAGTTTTCCAGTTGGCCTGTTTTAACCCTTACCCTACCCGGCCTTACTTCTCGCTGGGCAGACTCGTGTCCAGCCCAGCAGCCCTGCCCATCCCTACAGGCAGCCCCTGGCCTGCTCTGTTGGTGTTTGCTAGATTCTGTCCTCGCAGGTGGCACCTCGGGTTCAGGCACCCTACCAGGGGAGGTGAGCCAGGAGCCAGGAGTCAGAATGTGGATATGGAGACTCTAGCCATGTGCTGCAGGATACTTGAAATGGGGGGACCAGTGGAGCCCCTCCGCCACAGACATTCCCAAGCAGAGGGCCGGCTATCACAAAGGTGGCATCTGAGGTTGCATACTGTCTGACAGTGGCCGAGACTCAGGGGTCTACTGCTATCAGCTAGCAAGCAGGCTAGTGGTGAGTAGCTCAGAGACACCTGAGGACCTGGACTCTTGGCCCTTGCAGTGTGTGCCTCAAGCACAGCTTGGGAGAGAAGCAGGGCCAGTATCATTAATCAAAAACTTTTCTTGAGCTCAAGAGTCCTAAATTCTGTCTTTACTTCCCCGTGAGAACTCTACCTGTGGCCACCTTAGCTTCCTGAGCTGTAAGAGTGACAGTTTCTTTTCCAGTTCTTGGTGGGAAGGGCCCACAGGTCTTTGGTGTAGTCCTCTGCTGTCCCAAGTTCAATAATACCAACTTTTTTTTTTTTTTTTAAATGGAAGCATTCCTGATCTGTGCATTTTTTCTTACTTTGAGACACGGTCTTGCTATATAGTTTAGGCTGGTTTGAACTCAATATGTTGCCCAGGCTGGCCTTGAACATGTGGCAGTCCTCCTGACTCAGCCTCCTGAGTGCTGGGATTACAGGCCTGGCCTGATCTGTGTATTTTAATGCTTGGTGACACACATATAATCCCAATGCAATAGCTTTACGTTATCATCAGCTTGTTCAGAGCGCCTTGGAAACAGAAAGATATTCTTGGGAAACTGGGGAAAGGATTGTCAGCAATCATACTTGCAGTGGACCCGCAGTGATAAACTAGTTCTACCCGCCTGGAGATGAAGGAAAATGTATCAAAAGAGGAAGGAATAATACATCAAGGGCTTAAAAACACACTTAGAAATAGAGAACAATTGGGCCATGGAGATAGCTCAGTGACATAAACGCCTGCCTGGCAAGCGCAATGTCCCGAGTTGGATAACAATTTCCGGTGTTTGAAATGGGATTAGGTGGGGAGGATGACGCAGCACGGGGCCAGGCTTTACAGTCCTTGGTTAGAAAGACCCTGACACTGTAGCTACATGGGTTGTACTCAAGGACACAGAATGAAGCAAAATGTTGGCAAGGCAGGCTGCACTACAATCTTGGCGGAATCCTAGGGAAACGGATCTGAGTAGGGTAGGCGCTCTCTGCCTCCCCCGGGCGGGAGAATGAGCCAGCACATTTTCGCGGCATTCTAGCCCCACCCAGCGCTGAAAAAGAGAAAGGGCACGTTTGCAGCGCAAAAGCCTCGGTGCGCGACCGGGGAGCCCAACCCCGGCCAGGGAGGGTTTCTCCCAGGGCGAGTCCCGGAGCACTGTGAACAGGGCTCGGCGTCCGGCTTGGGACCCCCGGCCCCATCACCTCTGCACGCGCCAGGCGCTGTCGCAAGGTCATGTCCCCCGTAACACGGCGACTACGTGAAGGCTCACACGGGTCCGGGCGGCTTGATCGACGCCATTCCATTTGCTCGGCGTCCCCGCGCGCAGGTCCTGCCTGCTTCCACCCCCGCTCTGCCCATGTACCCCGTGACGACCCCACTGGCTGCGCAGCGCGTTTTCCTTCATTCTGCCGTTAGTGACGGCCTCCGGCGGCCGCCGCTTCCTGAAGTGCAGCGGACCTAAACCACAGGGAACATCCCGCCGGGGCTGCTCGGGCGCGGCGGACCCCCGCGTCCCTCCAGGGCCGAGTCCCTGCCGCGCAAGGCTGGACACTGACGTACCGGAACTCAGAGCGCGCAACCCGGAGTTTGGCGCCACCTGCCTGCGCCGGAAGGGACGGGACGAGGACGGGACTCCCCTGACGTCATTTCCGCACCCCGCGGGCAGGGCGAGGGCTGGACCTCGCCACCCCGGCGGGCTGCGGCGCGAGGAGTTCCGGCTGCAGGATGAGCGAGGCGGACGGGCTGCGGCAGCGCCGGCCGCTACGGCCCCAGGTCGTCACGGACGACAGCCCGGCCTCGGAGGCCAAGGACGGCAGGTAGGGAGGCAGGTGGCGCGGTGGCTGCGCCGTACTCCCGGGGTGTCCCAAGCCTGTCCTTAAACCCTCGCGGGGTTCCCCGGAGGTGACAGTCCCGGGCTCTGTCCTTCCTCCCTTCCCTGCTCTGTTTGTGGGTGATAGCCCGCAGACCTCCAGCTGCTGCGCCCCGTGCCGTGTGGACAGCTCCCAAGCCCTGCAGAGCACGCTTGGTGTCGGTGTAGGCAGGTTCTGTGCACTCAGCCTTGCAGGTTTCCAGAGGGGGAGCTGGTTGTGGACGCCTGATAAGATTTTGAGCTTTTGGTCTTTGCCTTCGCTTCAGTTCTCCGGAATTTAAGTAAACTATGCTTCGTTGTTAAAAACCTTAAATGTAAAATTTCGGATACTTAAAATTCATTTTTCAGTTTTGTATCCTGAGTTTCACAATTTGAAATTTTAGGGCAAACCAGGATAGAACAAGTTCCAAGTTTTGGAATTAAATCATACGTTGATAAAAATAAGAGAACTGTTCATTGGTCATTCAAAGTGTACCAAGAGGTATGGGGCCTATTGAGCTAACAGTATTTTTGCCTGATAGGCTGAATTTTTTGGGTGCTGATTGATGTACCGAGGGAGGTCCACAGCTCGCAGCAGTGTCTGGCTCTGGGAAGGAGGTTTGCAGGTTTTGTGGCAGTTGGTGTGGACTCCCTGGCTGTGGAAAGGTCCAGAAGATGGAGCCGTCGTAGTCGCGACTGGCTGCCCTGGGCTGCGTGAATTCTCATTTCTGAGGCTTTTTCGGGGCTACAGTTGGGCAAACCAGGGACAGCTGGTCACCTGCTTGTTGTAGCGACTGTGAATTAATCTCTGCTAGAACCTAATGTGTCCTTTAGAATGGGCACATGTGGCTGGCCATGTTTTATGATGGAAGCCTGAGAACAGGCACTTTGACCTGAAAAATGAAAGAGCCAGGCAATGTGTTGAAACTCCGCAGGGCAGGAGAGGCACTTGTTACAGGGCTGGAGGGCAGACTTAATTAAATTGTTTTGTCAGGTTCTCTGTGGGGATTTTCTTCCTTAATGACAAGGTAAATTAGATGCTCCAAAGCTATCTTGCCACCTGATCTTCTCTAGTGTACATCTTCCATTTGTATTTATTTAAAGATATTTTCTTGACTTCACTGTCTGTGGACCAAGTTTTTATTTTCCAGGATTTTTAATGTATTTATTTTTATTTGTGATCCCTTTCCTAGATGTAATGATTTCTTTCCGAGAGAGTTCTTTTCACCCACTTTCTTCTTTTAACATGAAAGTGTTTTTCTTGTTTTTGTCTGTTATTCCGTATTTTTCATTTTTCTGTGGTAATTTCTAGTGGCTTACTTAATTATCTTTTTGATTACTCTAAAGGTCCAGAATTCAGCTACACCTGAGAAGTGTGTGTATGGAAGATGTAGTCAAGAAATCTGAAGGAAGTAGAAAAAGGTTGGAGAAAACTTTCGATGTGCTGAACAGGCGAAAAGGAACTTTGAAAGACATTAAGGTTACAGACTCGGAGGATGATGGTGGTTTTGGGTAGCGGAGAGGAGACACCTAGTGATACTTTAGCAGGTCTCCAGGCTCTTGGCAGGAAGGGTGGCATTTGTTGTGCTTTACTCAGGAGGTCCCTGAGGTATGAGGAGATGAAAGGGAATGAAGAAGGGTAGAGTTAGCCGCTGGACAGCGCTTGCGAAACAATTTGGGAGTTGTGCTGTGGAGGTCAGATTACCACCTAAAACTCTCACACTTCTGTGTTTGAGCAGTAACGGTGCATCTGATTGCTGTTTACTCAACGTGGAGTGGAGGTGAGCTAACAAACTAGTGCGGACTTATGATGGTTACTATTTGGAACACTTTTCCCGAATGTGTTGGAGGCTTTATCGAAAGAATAATCGTGCACCATGAAACTGTTCTTCCCCTTTGGTAACACAGTTCTATCTAGAAAGAGAACTGTTTCCTGTCCATGTGTAACTGTGTTGGGATGAAGAATGAATATGTTGAGAATTAATAGATGCTTTTTCAGTAAACTGTGGAAGGCTTTTGGACCAGTTAAAAGTCCTTGCTGGCTCTGTTTTCTTTTTTTCCATATTAAGGCTGAAGTTAGGGAGGCCGAGTGGAGGAGATGGGTCAGTCGTGAAAAGTCAGGACTCTGGAATTTTTATCTCCACTCTTGGAGACAGGGTCTCAACTGTGTAGTGCTATGAGTCAGAAGTCTCCTGTACCTAGGGAGTGAGGAACAAAGAACAGAGCCTAAGGAGACTGGCTCCTGGTAACTCCGGCAAGCTGGAGACAAGGTATTAACAGATGCCTGGAGGCAGCGCCCTGTCTGTTCTTTGCTCCTTTATCTGGGAAGTTACCAACCAGTGACATGTAACCTAGTTGGTGAATGCTGGACAGCAGTATAGATAGCATTTTGTTTACACCAAGTTACGCACATTCCTTAGCTGTTTGTAGCTCTCAGTAAATAGGAGACTTTGCTCTGGCTCAGGTCTCTAAACTTAGAGACTGATCTCAGTGAGACCCCAGTAGCTGGTTTCATCCAGCCTCGCTGTCGATCATTCTACAACTCTGCAGTTCGGGCTGGCCTTGTGCTCACTTTTGTACCCCCCAGGCTGGTCTCAAACTCCCAGAGATCCTCCTGGCACAACCTCCTGAGTGCTGGGATCACAGGTGTGCGCCACTGCATCTGGTTCTGGGGCCGCACGGTACGTGAGTGCATCTGGGGCTAAGACAGCGTGCTCAGGCATCTGGGGCTGAGGACACATGGCATGTGGGGCCAGGGATTGAACTCAAGTCCTTGTGCTTGCCAGGTACATGCTTATGCCTCTGAGCTATCTCTCCAGCCTGTTTCTTCATTTCCTGATTTTCTTTCAAGAAAATATGATGGTTCTAGGAGAGCTAGTTTAAAGAAATGGGGAAAATGTGCAAATTCAAGGTGTACTTGCTTGAAAAGCTGGGACTTGCTGTGCTTGGCTTTCTTGGGTCCCAGGAATCAGCTTGATCACCAAGGGTCTGGGACCCCATGGGTAGGGAATAGCAGGTTTCCACAGAAGCCACAGGAAGCTTTTGGCCTCTTGTAGTCTGTCCGCTGGGCTTTAGTCCTTGATGACTAGAGAATGTCCTTCAGGCTCAGCGGGTGCGATTACAGAGGAGTTTCTAAATTGTGGCTGGGTCAGCAGCAATTGTCAGAATGGGTTGCATCACCATGATTGTGTTCTTGTCCTTAGAGAATGCAGGAAATTTCACATGTCCTCCAGAGGGAAGCTTTCCTTCAGGCCTTTTTTGAGAGATGGGACAAACAAGTTGACTTCTCAGACTGCACCTGGGAGCAAGTTGCCAGGCTTCCTCCATGTGTCTACACCGCAGGCCGAGAGTGTGTGGTGCCCGGTCAGTGAAAATGGATAGAGAGAAGAACAGTGCCTTTTATTTAAGTTAAAGTAATGTGGTACACGGTCCATGGGAGGCCAGTGAGAGAGAAGGGGAGGCAGTGTGGGTGGCTGTGTGCGGGTACCACAGGGAGGGCATCCTGCCAAAACCTTAGTGATTAGTGAGCCTCATCGAGGCCGGGCTGCATGGCATGGGGGCCAAGTGTGCCCTTTGGTGTAACAAACTGGCTCCATTTCGAGTGCCCAGGAGCCGCACGCGGTGAATGGCGACTATCTGTCATCGTGGAGGCTAAGTTGGGCAGCACTGTCAGGGATTCTCTTCAGATGTAAGCTACCATTTCTAAAAGTGGACCACGGAGCTTCCAGGGAACCCTGGGTGGTGATCTGGTGGGGTTGGGAGGTGAGATGGGCTTTCCTTGGGAGGGGATGTAGGTAAGAGAGTGTCCGGTACATGTCAGGATGACAGTGGAAAGCAGGTGTTCCAGGCCCTTTGGACCCTAGACCAGAAGCTCTGGGCTTGTTAAAGGGTATGCAGTTGACCCGGGGATGCAGCCTCTGAGAGGATGGCACTGCCGTGTGTGCCACAGTCCATCTACACTTGGGGCCGCTTTTCTGGCTGTATGCACTGTCATTTTCAGTCCTGGCTGAGCCTTGTGTTTTTGATGTAATTGAACCAATTGCCGTTATGTGAACGGGCGCCCAGAGACTTAAGCAGGCTATTGTAAACTGATTTCCAAATTACATGTTTTAAAATTTCACATCCAGGGTCGGGGTGGGGATTCAGCCCAGTGGTAGTCTGTACTTAGCGTGTGTGTGACGCCTTGGCTTCCATCCCCGGCAGCCCCTAATGTAAGGTGCAGCGTGGCGGAGGGGACTTAATGTCAGCTGGGGATGGATGAGAAGAATGTTTGGCTAGACAGGGAGAAAAAGAAACTGCCTTTTGGTTACACTGTCACTGTTTCTTGAATGATAGCCAGGCAGTGCAGGATTACAGCTTCCCCCAGGAGGCTGGGAAGGGGTGTATGATCTGTCCGGTTCTCTGAAGGACAGGAATCCAGGTTGGACTTGGGCAGCGGGTGGCCCTCTTCGCTGTGAGCCTTTGAATGTATTCTGCGGGGGCTCCGCTTGTAAAAGAGCCACACTAACAGAAACCTTTTTTTTTTTTTAACCGGGGATTGAACTCAGGTCCTTGTGCTTGCCAGGGAAGCGCTTATTCTACTGAGCTATATCCCTGGCCCTCAGAAACCTTTCTGCAGCTGGTACTGACAGCAGCCCTACAGCTCCTTCTGTGCCAGAGTTGTTAACTTTGTTCCTTTAATTTTTTTTTTTTTTTTTTCCTTTTGGGACGACTCTCAATATGCAGTTCAGGCTGGCTTTGAACTCATGTTATAGCCCAGGCTGGTCTCAAACTCACGGTGATCCTCTTCCCTCAGCCCCCAGAGTGCTGGGATGACAGGCAAGCAACCCTGCACCCAGCTGTTTTTTTATTGTAAACGTTTTTATTGAGAAGCAGTTCATATACTACAAAACTCACTGTGGTAATTGATACATTGTGTCAACTTGGCTGAATTGGCTCTGGAGGCGGGCAGGGCCCAACCTGGGGCGCTACTAGGCCAGCACTGGGGTGCGATTGGTTCAACCCTAGGGCCATGGGCCGCCCCAGAGTGATTCAGCACAAAAAGTGTATGTAAGGGAATTGAGGCAGGCTTCCGGCTGCCCTGACCTGCTTCCTTGGAGAAGTTCAAGTCTTCGCTAGTGCAGAGCCGCAGCTGGTGCTCCTCCTCTGCTCTTCATTGTCATGAACTGCTGTCATTTGCCTTGTAGCCAGTGGAGTATTAATTGAAACCTCCACAGACTGTGAGCTAAATAAACCTTTCCTTCCTTCGTTTTGAGTGTCCGGTATTTGTCCCAGCAGTGAGTAAAAAGTAAGGAAGACACAGAACCCATTTAGCCTTTTGGCCTCTGTGGGTTTTAGTGTCATCATGGAACTTTGCAACAGTTACGCCCTGTAGCTTAGAACATTTTGATCACTGTTTACATTTTCTTAAGGGGTTGGGGAGATGGCTCAGTGGAATTAGTGCTTGCCTAGCAAGTGCAGGAGCCTGAGTTCAATCCCCAGTTCTGCCAAAAAAAACTCCAAAAAAATTTTCTTGGTGGAAGTGAAATCCACACAATGTACAGTGATACAATTAGTGTTGAAGTGTACAGCTCAGGCATGTTCGGCGTGTTCAGGGCAGCTATCAGCTCTCTCCAGTTTTAAGACTTTTCATCGCCCATGGAAACTCCTACTCATTAAGGAATCATAACTGAGTGCAAAGGAGCCACTTTCCTGCTCTCAGGGACGGGAAGGCCTCTGGATGAGTGGAAAAACGAGTTTTAGGTCATGCATACAGTGGAGGGCTCTTCAGCCTCCAGTAGAAGGAACAGTGCACTGATGCGTCCTGCAGGGTGGTGGGGGACCTGGAAGGCCTAATGTTGGGTGGAAGAACTCTGCTCTGAGAGGCTGCACCTCGCATGCCCACTTCACATGTGTCTGGCACAGACGCGTCACCACATGCTCTCATGCCCGACCGACCCCCAGGACTCTCAGGCCCCATTCTCCCCTTGCCTTTGGCAGCAGCATTGCTAATGGTGGCCACAGCCTGGAGCCAGAGCTGGCCCTGCTGGTGCCTGCTGGTTCTGGCACTGGCCGTGGACAGACCACCCGAGCCTCCTGCCGCCCCCTTGGCCCATCTGTGAGGCAGAGAGATGCACCGTGCTGCCCAGTTTCCACGGAAAGCCGGGCTTCTTGTTGCCATCTTGTCGATCTTGTGGCCTTGCTCCTTCCCTGCTGTGGACCCAGGTGGTGTTTGCCTGGCTGGCACTGGCCTGTCCTTGATAGGTGTTTTCATGTCTGTCCTGTTCATACCCATGCTGGCACAAGTCACTTGTATTGGAAGAAGGCTATAGGGCCCTGGGGCTTGGGGCCAGGCGGGGAAGGCTGGTCTGACTTCTTCCTGTCAGGCTGCTCTCTTCCAGGAGCCTGAGCTCCTAGCCTCTCCCTGCTGGGTCGCCTGCATTTTGTTTGGGTCTGGGCACCTAGATCACCTGCTTTTCCACCTAGGAGAAGGGGTAAAGACTGATGGCTGGCAGTTTACCGGGGGGCTGGGGATGAACTTTAAACCCAATAGGGCAAAATGAAGGAAGTTATACACTATGGAGCAAAATTTTGGAAGGTTATTAAGAGAAAAATTGAGACCCATGAGAATTCTCATTACAAAGGGGAACTGTCAAAGGACTGAAGAGTGGCTGGCTCTGCCCTGACCTCTGTCCTGTTGTGGCGGAGAAAGCAGCAGGAGGGGACGCAGGAGGGGACGCGGGCTGCACCTCCCACAGGGGCTCAGAAACCTCCTCAGCTCGGGTCGGGCCTTGTCACCTGCACAGTGGGACACACCCCTGCTTCCTACCACTAGATCACGAGGATGTGTTTTCCTATTTTCCTGTTTTTCTACATGTCCCGACATCACTGGTAACACGTTCCTGACATCCTGCTAGCCCTCCACACAGGGCCTTTTGCGTCTTCGTTGCTGTTCACGGCAAGTTAGGTCTAAGTGTCTGTAGAAGATGAACTCTGTCTTGCCTACCGTGTTCTTCCCTTCCTTCCGAGACCTTCCCCCAGCAGAATCTTAACGTCTCTATTCCTGTTAATAGTCTCTCCAAGGAAACCAAGGCCTTTTTTGTCTTGCTGCACAAAATTCTCTCATCCTTCACTGATAGCCCAATTCCAAAGCTGCTTCCAGATGTTAGGTTTTGTTACAGCTGCGTCTTATTTCTAATGCTGGAAATCACTTAGAAAACTCTGTTTCCTATGCCGCCATAACAAATCACCACACCCTCAGCGCTGTAAACAATACTTTGTTTTCTTAGAGCCCTATAGCTCAAGGTCTAGGCAGGTCTCAGGGTTCCTGCTTCTGGGGTGGGGAATCCATTTTCTCCTGGTGGGAGAGCCCTGCTCTTCTGTGTGCTGTCTGGGGCGTCTTGTCAGGGACCCCCCTTAGGGAAGCTGCTCCCTCTGTTGCACTTGGTCTGTGTTTCCCTCTGTCATTTACTTCCCCCACCACAGGGGAATGGAAGGGTGGGTTGCACGTGCTGCTCTGTGCAGGACAGGGCGGCACATGGAGGCATCCCTGTCAGCTGCCCACTCTGCCGTGGTGGCTGTGGGCTTCTGCAGTAAAGATGTGGCTGGGTGCTGGTTAGCCTGTGTGCCTGGGCCTTCCTCTGGGTTCCCGACAGAGCGGAGCTAGACATGCTTCATGTTTGACACCCATTCCCTACCCTTAGATCAGGCCTGCTCAGTCCTTTACATCAAATGTTTTTATTTTTTGATAGAAAAAGCATTCCCTTCAGCCCGTGGTGGTGAACCTGTGGCACACGTGCTGTGGTGGGCGCATAGAGCCCTCGCTGAGGTGATGCCACGACTTGTCTTTTCTAAGCCAAAACCTCGTATTCAGGTTTAATTGCGGCGCTGGCGCTTTGCAATAAGCAAGTGGGTTTGGGGTTGCAGTTGGGGCCCTTGGTCTCTAAAAGGGTTGCTGTCATTGCTTTAGGCACTCATGATTTTATTTGCTTTAAATTAATCTTAAGTGTCTAGTGAATTGGAATGCATTTTATGTAAGCAAATAAAGATTTATGAGGTTCATTCAGTAGCAAGAAGCTAAATGTTCTCACTTATGTAGCAGATGAGAAATAATGTATGCGAGGATTGGTTGGGAAATATTTTATGCACTCCTGGTCATTTGACTAAAAACAAATTACCCAAGATTCCCAAGGCAGCTTTCAGATCTTCCCAGGTTTCAGGACTGATGACTTAGAGTTTTAATTTTATAAATTCTTTTTTCTTTTTTTTTAATTATTTTTTTTAATCTTTTAATTTATTTGTTACAGAGTCTTGCTATGCAGCTTGGACTCATAGTGGTCCTCCTGTCTCAGCCTCCCCAGCACTGGGATTACAAATGTGCACCCCCATTTCTAGTTTCGGTGGCCAGCATACATAGCACACAGTGCTGGGAATCAAACCCAGGTCCTTGCATTTGCCAGGCTGGCGCTTAGACTGCAGAACTATCTCCCTAGCCCCTAGTTTTGTAGATTCTGTGCGGTTACTGGATCATCTGTCAGACTTTTCCTGCCAAGAGCTGGAATTTCCTTCAAAAAATGGGATCTGTGAAATGACTGGGGAGCTGGAGGTTGATGGAATTCTTGGGCTTCCGTTTGCTGCATGAATTGGTCTGTTTGTCTCTTCTGCATGCTGGGGATGGAACCCAGGGCCTTGGACACCCCGGACAAGCGCTGCACCATGAGCCACACCCCCAGCCCTCACTCTCTTCAGTCCCTAAGAGCTCTAGGGGCAAACAGTAATCATGGAACCTTTTTTCCCCCCATACGTTCTGTGTTCATCGATCTTTGAGTTTGCCTTTAAGTGCTGCAGTAGGAAGTTCAAGATCTGGAAGCAGCTGATCAGAGTGTCCCACACTACAGAAGATTAAAAAGAAAAAAAAAAGTACAGTTATGTTTGCCCCTCCTGGCAAACGGTGCTGGAGTTTAATCAGAAGCCACCAAGGTCAACAACCCTGCCCTAGGAAGCGGGCAATTGACCCCGCTCCTGTGGAAGGGCTTCGGTCCGCAGGCTGTCCCTGGGCGGCTCTGCTGATTGCCTTTGTGTGCTTTATTTTGGGCAGCTCCTTTAGCGGCAGAGTCTTCCGAATGACCTTCTTGGTGCTGGCTGCGTCCCTCATCCTGCCGCTGCTTGGAGCCATGAAGCTGCTGGAGTCGCCCATCGACCCCCAGCCTCTCAGGTGAGCTCCGTGCAGTCAGTCCTCTGTGTGTTAGGCTGGAGCAGTTTCCAGGGAAGGGAGGCTGCGTCAGCCAGGCTGGGCAGGTTGAGGGGAGGTTGTGAGAGTGTGCCCTGGTTTCCGTAGGAAGTCATGTTGACTGGATGTTATGTAGAGTATATGGGTGGTATAGTTTGTTATCGTTGGGAAAAGCTTACAAACCAAGGACAGAAATCAAAATAAGAGAAACTGATGAGAATAGAGTTAACCTTAATTCAGTGAAGTTGTAAAAACACACGTAAAGGCTAGATTTAAGTTACCATGTTTAAATTCTATAAGTAAATGGATTTTGCTTTGATTATTTTCTTTTAGTACAAGTTCGTGATGTGAAATGAGCCGGCTCATTGCAGGGAGTTGGTACTTGTTTGTCGCTTCCTAGCCCGTGTCTCAGCTCTCTCCTGTCTGTCCATTTCCTGCCACTTCTATCCCACAGCCCTTTGCCCTCCTGCCTCAGTGCAGTGGCCTAGACTGGGGCCTGGGCCTGCTTGGCCTGCCTGACCTGCCTGGCTTGTCCTTGGGTGGTGGTGGTGACAGTGGCTGCTTTCCTCCTTCCTCCTCCCCATCATGGCTTCCCTTAGCTCTGTGGGACCTTGTCCCCTGGTGTTACATCAGGAAGGCAAGGTAGTCTTTTTTTGAAAGCCTGTAATTAGTATTTTTTTTTTTTCCCCTAAGTTACCTTTACCCAGTAGAGTTCTAGGAATAAGTTATCAGTTGTCACCTTGAAAAAAGGGGCTTTTGATGTATATTCTTTTTTTTTTTTTTTTTTTTTTTTTGGTATTGGGGATCAAACTGAGGACCTTGTGCCTACTAGGCAGGCACTTGAGCTGTATCCCTGGCTCCTTGATGTATATTCTTGTTAGTGATTATAGGGGTGCTCCACCTGCTGTTGGGACCTCAGAGTTGGGGGATGGGAGGGCTGTGCATTCTGGTCAGTGAGGGCCTGGCTCCTTGTGAGAGTACCTATGGGAGAAGCTGACTGAAGTCCACTGTAAATAGGTTGGGTGGCAGCCACTCAGAGAGCCAGGAGCCTGGCGCCAGTGAGGAGGGTGTCAGGGCTTCCTGGGCAGTGGTCATGCATTGGGCAGTGTTGGGGAGGAGCTTAGTCAGGAGGCTGCAGGGCCTGGCTCTCCACTGTGGAAGACAGAGGACCCACACAGGCACAGCGATGACGTGGGGTTCTGGGGATACAGCTTATCCCCAGGGGAGGAGCAGCTTAGCGGGGCTGAGTCCTGTGTCCTTGGCTTGGGATAGGAGGCTGCCATTGCCTCTGTGTGCTGGCTGAGGAGAGGTGGCAGCCATGGAGTGGCACTGGCCAGACCTAACAGGCACCCCTGAATGCTTCGAGGCCCAGTCTGGTCCCTGCTCTCCAGCTGCTCAGGTCAGCCCTGCATCTTTCTTTGGAGGTCCCCTGTGGCCCCGCCTTGGTGTGACTTACGGGCTTCTCTCAGCTCCTGATGGCCAAGTGCTGTAACAGCTGTTGGTGTTTTTAATTCATCATCCTTGAGTTTTACAGTTTCACATTGGTAGTAAGTGGCTCTTTTGCACTATGACAGCAGTAGTCTTCCTGGTGGGCCCTAAAGTTATAGCAGCAAAAATCTCTTCTCTGAAATGCTTTGGTATGTCCTTGACCTTAGATTTTATTTTAACTGATAGACATGTTTTAGAAATGTCTACGAACACCATATTCTGCTCTGGAAAGACTGCTTGCTCCTGTGTCGAAACCAGGCCCTGCCTGTAGTGCTTGTGGGTGGAGACTAAGGGCTGCTACTGACTCAGTGTCTCCCAGATGGTGTGCCACAGGGCAGTGTCCTGGCCATGCACACTTGTGCCCGACAGGTTTATCATGTCTACACTCAACAGAGTTGGTGTGGGGGGGTGGGAAGCCTGGCGCTGGATTCTGGCTAGGCAGAGCCATGGCGAGCGTTCGAGTGGGATCAGAAACAAAGCCCAGGCAGCATCCACGCTGAGCTGGCCGAGTTCCGGCTTTAGGGAGAGTGTGTGGGCTGCACGTGGTGGCATGCAGCTGTCATCCCAGCTGCTCCGGAGGCTGGGGCTGGAGAAACACAAGTTCAAGGCTACCTGGGCAGCTGAGTGAGACCTCACCTCAAAAAGTAAGAGAGGAGGTCGGGGAGATAGCTCAGGGGTCTAAGTGCCTGGTTGGCAAGAACAAGGACCCGGGTTCAATCCGTGGTACTGCATGCCATTCCAGCCCTGAGTGAAGCCGGCCACTGAAGCTGGGTGTAGTAGTGCATGCCTGTAATCCTAGCACCAGGGAAGCTGAGACAGGAGGATCACTAGGAGTCTGAGCTGCGTAGCATGACCCTGTACCAAATAAACACATAAATCTTTAAAAAAAAAAAAAAAAGATGTGGGGGTTCAGTACCCATTGTTCAAGTAACATGCAGGCACGCACGCATGCATATGCAGTCTGGCTTGTGGTCTGCTGAGCCCTGCTTCCTACACTTCCTCATGTGGATGCCCCTGCTGCCCAGCAGGGCCTGGCAAAGCCCTGACGCTGGCTACATAGATGCTTTCATAGTCTGACCTTTTCTGGTAGTGTGACCCTTTCTGATAGCCTTTAACAGCTTTCTTTTTATGTGTGGTGACTAGGGATGCTATTGGGATGTGCTTTCTATCACAGAACAGGGAGCTGTGCCTGCAGTGGGTCCTGGCAGACATTTGCCTTTGTGTTTTTGTGGACATGTCCGTACAACTGCACTGTGTTACAGCTTCAAAGAACCTCCTCTGCTGCTTGGTGTCCTGCAACCAAATACGAAGTTGCGGCAGGCGGAAAGGCTGTTTGAGAATCAGCTTATTGGGCCGGAGTCCATAGCAAATATCGGGGGTGAGTGAACCAGGACTGAGCGGTGCAGGGGGGTGGGTTGGGGGGAGCTCGGTGGAGCCTGGAGTGTATGCACCTCTAGGTGGGCAGTCTGGCAGAAGGGGCCTCCAGCTTCTTTCCTGTCTCTGTCTCCCAGGGGTGATGTTTCGGTGCTGGTAACTTTGAGTTTGTCTCTAGAAGACTTTTACTGTGCTCAGAGCACAGAGAGGGGAACAGGGACAGGAAGTGCAGATGTGAAGTGTGTGTCATTTGTGAAAGTAGCTGGTGGATGGACAGTGCCTGCCTTGCTTTGCCTACCTGCCTGCCTGGCTGCCCATCCGTTCGTCCATCCGTCTGTCTGTTTTCTTTCTTTTTTTTTTTTTTTAGAATAACAATGGTTAGTACATTGTGTATTGTTACTGCCAAACTAGTTTCTCATATTATAAGATATAGGCAAGAAATAATAAGTAAACAACATAGGTACAAACATCTTTTTTTTTTAAAGTCAACAGAAAATAGAAATATACTTTTTAAAGTTTCTAATACTAGAAGATATCATACAATGTCTTTTAAATAAATCGTAAGTCAAAGATACAGTATAAATCTTAGAACAAAAATTAAGATTAAGCAATATTCAGAAAATTAAATGTTTCAAAACAATTGAACTAAGAAAAAG